TTTTTTTTTTTTTTTTTGAGTTTTGTTCCACATTGTTCTCCCTCTCTATCCAGGATCTCCTACAGAGATCCCCCTGTGAGTAGTTGACAGTGGTAGCCAGACATCATCTAGTTCTTCTGATCTCATAGTCACATAGGCTGAGGTCTCATAGTGTACCACTTTCTTGGACTAACTGTTTCCATGTGTCTTTGGTTTTCTTCATTCTTCTTTGCTCTGGATGAGGAGACACCTATCGTTGCATCTAGATGGCCGCTTGCAAGTTTTTAAGATCCCAGTTGCTACTCACCAAAGTAGGATGTGTAACAATGTTTTGTGTAGTATGTTATGCCAATTGAGCTTGATGTCCCTTGCAACTATGGTCTCAAGCCCACAGGTCCAATTACTCACTCCCTCTGGGTAGCTGGCTGTGGCCAAGAATTAACTACAACCTTGTCCCTTGTCAGCTTTACTATACACCTAGAAATTCTTACAGAACATATAAATACACTTGTAGAAACACTATCTGCCATGGTCTTGGGCACACTCCCCCATGCAAAGACATGCCTAATAGTTCAACCTATCCACCCATCTAAAATAGAACACATATATTTTTAAAAAGAAAGAGCAATTAAAGATTCTCTGTGTTATGAATTATGAAAAGGACTCTAGCTTCCTTTACTTTCCGCAGAACTCACTGAGATAAGCAAAAGCTGAAGAATACCCATGTCAGCATTCACAAGATGAAGTCCTAACCTCAGATCTACAAAGTATTTTTAAAGTCCTATTCTTAGCAAAGGAGCTCTGGTGGCATAGTGCCTAAGGCATTTGACTGCTAACCAGAAGACTGGCGGTGCAAACCCACCAGTCACTCCTCAGAAGGAAGACTGGGCAATCTACTTCAGTAGTGATACTGCCTCAGAAATCCAAGGAGGGGTCGCTATGAGTCAGATTGGACTGGACAGCAGTGAGTTTATTCTTAGCAAATCATGTATGAGACCACAGTGTAGCTAGATGCATGTATATATATGACCTCAGCTAAAATGTATGCTCCCAGAGGGGAAGAAATGAATTTTACTCATCTTTGTTTGCCCAAATGAAGATTACTTATTTACATGGCTACAAAACATTATCACACAACGAATTATATTTGTTTACAGTTAAAGATAACAGCTTCAACACATTAAGCTTCAGAAAGTTACTAAATTTCTCACAACCTTGTCCACAAGATCTAATAATACATCCTATTTAAAGAAATATGAAAAATCTTTCATTTTAACCTCACATATTCTTATACCCAGGAGCCACAATTAGGTGTACCATAGACATGTGTGAGACTCATGCTTTTTTCTTGTCCCTCAGTAACATATCCTCCACACCTCCATGGAAGAGCATAACATAACCTCATGCTTGAACGTAGTCTACAGGAAAGGCAGAGATACACATCCTACTGACCTCTAATACTCAAACGGAGCTCCTCAGTAAAGAATGTTTTAGGGTCCTTATTTGAGAACTCAAGAACTGACTCTCCGTAAGTTGGATTTTCTGGCATAAGCCTGAACAAGTGATAGAGCAATTTATTCAAACTCTTTGTTTTCCGAAGATACATCGAATAGAGAGCCCGAAGCTGTTGGAAAGCAAAGAATTTGTTAGGAAACCTAATTAAATCAAGATAAGCAGTAAATAAAAGTATGACAGATTATACAACAGCACTTAATAAACAAATGCAGTAATTTGAATTACATCAAAGTCCTGTAAAATATATCCCATATTCTTACTTTCCAAATGTGCCCTTGGATGGCAGTGCTCCCTGTCCTCATAAACTAGCAGATGTTTTCACTATCCCCTCATTATTAGACATATGCTTCAAATATCTTTCTAAATATATCTTCCTGTTGATAAGCTCACCTCAGCTGGGAGTCTCCACTCAAGCCAAGAAAATCTATTCACCATTCCCCACAGATGATTTGTTCACTCTCCTCCTAATCCACCACACATTCCTTTCATGCTATCTTCCTTAAGCCTTCAAATTCCTGCCTAAAAGTAATCCCACTTTCATGGCTGACCTCATCCTATATCAAACAATCCAGCATCCCTTTAGGACAGAGAGCACACAAACCAGTAGTCCAAAATGTCGGGGATTTCTCACAAAGTAAAACCAAACCTGTTGTCATCAATTCTGGCTCATATCCACCCTACAGGACAGAGCAGAACTGCCTCATAGGAGTTCCATGATGGTAAATCTTTACAGAAGTAGACTGACACATCTTTCTCTTGGTGGGTTCGAACCACTGACATTTCAGTTAGCTGCCAGAAGCTTTAACCACTGCACCACCAAGGCTCCTTGGGACTTCTCACAGTATCTTAAAAATCTAGATATTTCACATAAAAAATAATTGATTTCTGGTTTCTCTTTTAAAAACAGGAAAATGTGTCGGACTGGGTGTACCATAGACATGTGTGAGACTCATGCTTTAGAACTCCTTGTCTCTCAGTAACATACAGTTTGCATTTGTTCACATTTACTTTGTAGCTATCCAGTCTTTGAGCCTATTCTAAAATGAGTCCTTCTGCTGTACAGCAAATTCCCTGAGGATAAGGCCCTTCTGTATCTCCTTGAAGTGCAAGGAATTTCTTAATATGGCACTTCTCGCCATGGTCTCTGTGACTCCCACCAGATGACCGGGTGGGACTATGCAAATAAAAGGTGCCTATTAACCACCAAGAGGACTGGATAGCTTTTAATAATGTAAATAAGGGGCATGGCACCCTTGTGGGGGTGGGATCATGCAAATAAGATGTATGGAACCCTAACTAGGGGATTGGTCAGTTTTGTCAACTTGCTAGGCTTAAAATAAGCCATCAGAGAAGTGGAAAGGGAGATCTCACTACCATCAATAAAGGAAAGCCACGAGTATAGTATGTCCTTTGGACACAAGATCCCTGCACTGGACCTTCTTGATCCAGGAGACAGAGAGCTATGACACCAGGAGACAGCAAGCTGCAGCAGCAGAGGCAGCAGAACCAAGAGACTGGTGTGAGACAGTGTGGTGGGCTTCACAGGCTGCAGAGTGAGCAAGCTAGCACCTTCAGGCAGGCAGCTTACTGGCAGAGTGGGTACCTCTGAGCACTTAGGACTGGCAGAACTGAAAGAACTTCGTAACAGAGAGGCTGAAGGCCAGAAAGGCATGCCTGTGGGAGCTGCTGAAAAGAGGCTGTCCTGACTGTAAAAGTGTATCCTGAGTTGCTTCTGATCCTGAATTTGTAACATGTTACTCTCCTAAGAAACTCCATAACTGTGAATTACTGTGTTTGAGTTCTGTGTAACCACTGCAATGGATTATTGAACACAGCAGAGAAGTACAGAATGCCATGGAAGGGACAGTTAGTTGGGTGTAAAAATTGGTAAAAAGGTTGAAGGGTGGTGGCATGCCTAATCTCTGCCTTGCAGAAATCAGCTGGATTGTTGTTGTTGATATTGATCCTTCTCCCTGCTTGTGAAGTTAGAAGAGGTCAGAGGCCTCCCCCATGCTGTTTTCACACTCCATGCAGTACAAAGCCACCATTTTCTGAACAGTTCAAATATAAGGATAAAGACCAGATTTACAACTAATTTTAAATATGTGTTAATCAAAGTACAGTTACAATGGAGAAATCTGGGGAACACTACTATTACCAAGTAATGATACTTAACATCACCAATAAAGGGAAACACTGACATCACCATGTATATGGTTAAATCTTCTTACCAAAACGTTATTGAAAATCTAATAATGAACAAATTAATAAATCCAAAGTTTATGACAGGCTATAAAACAACAGGCCAGGTCAGTGACAAGAAAGAGAGAAAAAAGGGTAAAGGAACGGAACTATAGGTTAAAGAAACAAAAAGATACGATTAAAACAATGCAAACACAATCCATCATGGAATCCTGAATAGGAGAGGGGAAGAAAACTATAAAGGGTTAAATTACCGGGACTACTGGGGAACTGTAAATACAAAAACTAAACCCATTACTAATGAGTCAATTCCAACTCATATTGATCCCACAGGGTTTCTAAGGCTGTAATTCTTTATGGAAGTAAACTGCTTCATCTGTATTCTGTGGAACAGCTGGTAGGTTCAAACCACCAACCTTCTAGTTAGCAGCCGAATGCCATAGCGCCGCACCACCAGAGCTCCTTTTAAATACAAAAGAAGTAATATTACTTTATCAAAATTAAATTTAAATGTAATAGTTGTATTACACTTCTGTAGAAACATGTCCTTGTTCTTCTTAGGAAATATATACATAAATATTGTTGGTAAAACATAAGGGTGTCAGTCTACTTACTTTCAAGTAGTTCAGCAGAAAAAAAAAAAAACCGATGTGCAATGTATTGCCTAAGGCATTTGACTACTAGCCAGAAGGCTGGCAGTTCAAACCCACCAGCCACTCCTCAGAAGGAAGGCTGGGCAATCTACTTCCATAATGAAACTGCCTCAGAAACCCAAGGAGGAGTCTCTATGAGTCAGATCTGACTCGACGGCCATGAGTTTGGTTTCAGAGTAACGTGTTAACAATTAGTGAATCTAGCAGAAAGGTATATAGATTGTACCTTTCTTCTAATTTCTCTATAAATTTGAATTTTTCAAAACAGAAAGTTGAAGGGAAAGTGAAAGTTAAAAATAATCAGCTCATATCAATGGACTTTAAAACACACAGACATGACCCACCAATTCCACTCCTGAGAAAACCAAACTCACTGCCATAGAGTCGTTTCCAACTCATAGTGACCCCCATTGGGTTTCCGAGGCTGTAAATCTGCCCAGTCTTCCTTCCGTGAAGCGGCTGGTGGATTTGAACCGCTGACCTACTGGTTAGCAGTCAAGTGCTTTATCCATTATACCACCAGAGCTCCTTTCCAGGGATCTATATACCTAAGAGAAATGAAAATTTATGTCCAACAAAAACTTGCACATGAATGTTCATAGCCATTTTATTCATAATAGCAAAATAAATGGAAACAACTTAAATGTCCATCAACTGATGAACAGATCAACAAAATGTGGTATATCTGTTTGATGGAATTCAGCCATAAAAAAGGAATGGGGTATTGATACATGCTATTATATCAATGAACCTCAAAAACAACACTAAACTGAGTGAAAGCACCCAGGCACAAAAGGCCACATGTGGAGACTTCTGGTAAGATGGAGGAATAGGCAGATAAGCGACAAAGACCCTCTTCAACAAAGAAAAGAAAAACCAATTGACAGAGATACAGAAGATAATCCTGGAGCCCTGAGCTTTGACAGGAACTATACAGAAGAGGATTAGGCACCAACTAGTGGAAAAACCTGAATGAAAACAGTGAGTCCCAGCTATGGAAGTATCCAAAATAAATAAGCCTACTAGATTGTAAACAGGGAACCAGAGACATCAATTGACAAAGGAGGACAACTACAGACCAAAAAGAGGGAAAAAACCGTGTCATTACAGAACTTCTAGATGGTAGAAAAGTCAACGCAACTACAAGATAGATAGAACAGACTATTCCAAACTTGGGAAGAAAACTATGAATCACAGGGTAACCTCAAAGAAAAATGATAAATCTTCACATCAAAATAAAAAAGAGGACCAGCACAAATATTCAGCAAATACTAAAACAATAGCAATGAAGGAAGGAATAACACAGTTCATAAACAAAATGAGCTCAGCATAGTAAATTATATGGAACAAAGAAATCGACACCATGAGAAAGCACATAAGAAAAATGACAGCAACAAATTCATATTTGCTGATAATTACATATCTGGCAAGGGACTTATCTCTAAGATTTATAGAAAACTCCAATGCCTCAACACCAAAGGAATTAACAATCCAATTGAAAAATAAGCAGAAGACATGAATAGACACTTCACCAAGGAGGATATTCAGGTGGCCAGCTAATACATGAAGAGATGCTCACCATCATTGGCCATCAGAAAGATGTAAATCAAAACAATGAGATACATCTCACCCCAGGACTGACGGCAAGGTTCAACAAGACAGAAAATAACAAATGCTGGTGGAGATGTAGAGAGATTAGGACTCTCATACACTGCTGGTAGACTGTGAAGTGATACAACCACTGTGGAAAGCACCATGGCAATTCCTTAGAAAGCTGGAATTAGAGATGCCATTTACCCAGCAATCCCATTACTAGGTATATATCCTAGAGAGGTGACAGCCAGGTAGGAACAGATATATGCTCACCCATGTTCAAAGCAGCACTATTTACAATAGCAAAAAGAGAGAAACAACGTACAAGCCCATCAGCAGAAAAGTAGATGACCAAACTATGGTACATATACATATTGGAATGCTATGCAGCACTGAAGAATAATGTAGAGTCTGCAAAACACCACATAATATGGATGAACTTGGAGAACATTATGCTGAGTGAAATAAGTCAATTATGGAAGGACAAATATAGTATTAGTTCATTATTGTAAAAAGTCAAGGAAAGGTTTATATATGGAGGGAAACCTTCTTTCTTGGTTGCCAGGGGTGGGAGGGGGAGGGAAGGAACACTGCAAAAAAAAAAAAAAAATGCATTGACCCATGTCATTTTGTTCTTGTTGTTATTTGCCGTTGAGTTGGCCCCGACTCATAGTGACCCCTCCTTAGATTTCCCAGGCAGTATCACTACTGAAGTAGGATTGCCCAACCTTCCTTCCAAGAAGTGGCTGGTGGGTTTGAACCGCCAGCCTTCTGGTTAGCAGTCAAGTGCCTTAGGCACTATGTTACCAAAGCTCCTCCATGTCACTTTAGTTTTGTATATATCACTGTACATAAATTATATTTCAATAAAACGTATTAAAAAAAAAAAAAAAGACCACATGTGTGAAATGTCCACAACAGACTAATCTATAGAGGTAGAGCATAGATTAATGGTTGCCAGAGGCTGGAATTTGGGGGGAAAATGGGAAATGATTGCTAATGAGTATGTGGTTTCTTTTTCAGAAGCTGAAAATGTTCTAAAATTAGATAGCTTACAGAAATCTTTGAACATACTAAAAACATCAAACTGTACACCTTAAATGAGCGAACTTTATGATGTGAAATATATCTCAAGAAAGTTGCAAAACACACACACACACACACACACACATCTTTGTTCAACAGATTCACTAGGAGTATTTATGAGAAGCAAAAAAAAAAATTATGATTTAGGACTGATTAAAGTTTTAAAAGTTCTTTGCAGTTTGTTTCAGGATTGGGCTGATTAGTGCTATCTACCAGGTTATTCTAGTTTATCCATCCACAGCTCAGTTCAAGCTCTAGGCTGAATAAACACCACTGCCAATTTCTTTACAATCCTGCCCTGCACTCCCACCCCGGTTTAATAAAAAAGATGCATGGCTATTACTCTAATTTCTGAACATAAAATGAACAAAATTATTCCTCAATCTGCTGCAATTGTTTAAAAGATCAGAAATATTTTAAGAAACAAATGTAAAAGCCCAACAAGGAGCTCCTGAAATTCACAATGAGGAAAAAAAAAAAAAAAAACCCAGCTAGTTGAAGTTAACAACATAAATGACAGGACTAAACAGAAGTAAGGAGCTCTGGTAGCATAGTGGCTAAAGCACTTGACTGCTAACCAGAAGGCTGGCGGTTCAAACCCACCAGCCACTCCTCGGAAGGAAGGTTGGGCAATCCTACTTCCGTAGTGATACTGCCTCGGAAACCCAAGGAGGGGTCTATGAGTTGGGGCCGACTCCACGGCATATAACAACAACAGCAAACAGAAGTAAAACCAATCTATTTAACAACTAGATCAATGTTACCTCAAACATGTGATACTTCCCTTAGATATACAAATGCAAAGAGGCATATATATTCATTTTAACAAGACTGGATTAAGAACAACATAAATTAAAACTTAAGAATTCTAAAAAAAAATCACATCAGACAACAAATGCCATGAATATTTAATCACACTTTAAATATGATAAATTAAGTCTTCCTGTATTGACCTGTACAAGAAACCACATGTTATTAGAATGACTGAATCAAGGTTTGACTGAGATTCTTTAAGTGGGGGATCTGCCTTAAAAAATAATAATAATAACTCAAGTAAATCTTTCCAGTTCCCTTTCTAGACAATAAGGTCTTTCCTCCCAAATATGAAACAACAGAGACACCTAGAGGATACTAAAATAATTTGTAATAGGGTATTTTCACAAAACATTTAGAGATAATAGTCTGAATTACATAGACAACTGTCAAAATGCCATGGAGGACACATCTGATCTCCTCTAACTCCACAAGCGGGGAGAGGATCATTATCTGCACCAACAACCAATGGTCTGACATACCTCCACCCTCCAACCTTTTTACCAGTTCTGACATCAACCATCCCCTCCTACAACATTCTTTACTTCTCTCCTGGGTTCGATAATGTATTGCAATGATCACAAAAACTCACACACAATACTCACAATTATGGCCCTTATTAGAGAAGTTGTTATCAGGTACCGTTAAGTTGGTTCTGACTCATAGTGACCCTATGTACAACAGAACAAAACAACGCCCAGTCCTGCACCATTCTCACAATTGTTGCTATGTGTGAGCCCATCATTGCAGCCACTGTGTCAATCCATTTTGTTGAGGGTCTTCTTTATCGATGACCCTCTGCTTTATTAAGCATGATATCCTTTTCCAGGGATTGGTCCCTTCTGACAGCATAACCAAAGTACAAGAGACAAAGTCTAACTATTCTCATTTCTAAGGAGCATTCTGGCTGTACTTCCTCCGACACAGATTTGTTCATTCTTCTAGCAGTCCATGGCACATTCAATATTCTTTGCCAACACCACAATTCAACTGCATCAATTCTTCTGCAGTCTTCCTCATTCATAGTCCAACTGTGACACGCATATGAGGCTACTACAGATACCATGGCTTGGGACAGATGCACGTTAGTTTTCAAAGTGTATCTTTGCTCTTAAACACTTTAGAAAGGTCTTTTGCAACAGATTTACCCAACATAATATGTCATTTGATTTCTTGACTGCTACTTCCATGGGCGTTGATTGTAAAGTAAAATGAAATCCTTGACTATTTCAATCTTTTCTCCATTTATCTTGATGTTGCTTACTGGTCCAGTTGTAAGGATTTTTTTTTTTTTTATTTTGAGGTGTAATCCATGCTGAAGGCTTGGTCTTTGATCTCCATCAGTAAGTGCTTCAAGTCTTCATTTTCAGCAAGCAAGGTTGTATCATCTGCATATTGCAGATTGTTAAAGAGTCTTCCTCCAATCCTGATGCCGCATTCTTCATGCTATAGTCCAGCTTCTTGGATTATTTTCTCAGCACACAGAATGAATAAGTATGGTGAAAAGATACAACCCTGATACACACCTTTCCTGATTTTAAACTATGATGTATCCCATTAGGGAAGTAACAGGCTATAACCAACTCAGGACACAGTTCTTCAATCAGGACAGCCTCTTCTCAACAATGCCCACAAGCCAGTCTCTCTCTGGCCCACGGCCTCTTGGTCCTGCAGCCCCGTGGTCTCTGCCCTGCTCGGCCAAGTGTTACAAAGCTCTTTTAGTTCTGATGATGATAAATGCTCAGAGGCACTCCACCCTGCCGTAAGCCTCCTGCCCAAAGGCATTCAGCTCTCCCCGCTCCACAGGCCATAAAGTCCACTGCTCTGTCTCCTGCCAGGTGTCCTGCTATTTCCCTGCCACTACTTTTCACCGTCTCTGCAAAATGTTATAGCTCTCTGTGTCTCCTAGGCTGAGGTCCAGTACAGGAATCTAAGTCCAAAGGATATGCTCTACTCCTAGCTATTCTTTCTTGATAGTAATGAGATCCCCCTTTCCGCCTCCGAGATGGCTAAGCCTAGCAAGATGCTAAAAATGACCAGTCCCCACGTTAGGGTTCCATACAACTTATTTGCATGGTCTCATCCTCACAAGGCTGGCATGCACCTTATTTACATTATTAACAAGCTACCCAATCCCCTTGGTGGGCCACAAGCACCTCACATTTGCATAGTCACACACAGTCATCTCATAGGAGTCCCAAAGACCCAAACACCATGGCTAAAAGAGCCATACCAAGCAATTCAATGCACTGCAATAGTGCTTCAAATATCTTTCTCTAAGCACTTATTTTCAAATAAGGTAAACTTACAATGATGTATCAACTAAAATCTCCATAAGAGAGTTACAAATTGAACAAAGCAAAACAATAGCAAGAACCAATTCTTTTGAAATTGTGACTACAGTAGTGCCAAACTAAGTTATATAAATCTTGTTTCTTGCAGTAAAAGGACTTAGTGACTGTGTTAAATTTTTAAAAATTGTAATTTTCCAGAGAATAATTATTTTTACAAAAATTGTGTGTGTAAAAAAAAAAAAATTGGGTGTGTGTGTTAAGTAAAACAGTGTATGGATAGAGTGTGTGTTAGGGAAGTGGGGACACATATAAGTTTAGCAGAACATCTGAAGTTAGCCAGATATTAAATTAAAATGGATAGCATTTCCTCCCCCCCCAAACACACACCAAAAGAAAGAGAAGGAAAGAGTTTAGGAAAGGAATAGAGAAAAATACAGGACAAAACTTGTCATATATTCACTTACCTGAGATGAAGCAGCTTTGAAGAAAGTAAGTATTAATTTCCATGTGAGGAGGTATCCCAGAACATAACAGAAATCCTCACTTAGTGGCTTAATAGTTACTATCTGTCCAACAGAAATACACCCCAAAACATTTTCTAGTAAGTCCTCTTGAGTATTAAGAAGAGACATGAGCACTGCCGGTGGTGACCTAAAAATAAAAAAAATAAAAAAAAAAAATCAATGATAAATCAAAACACCATAATTTTCTTCATAACTCATCCCGTAACAAATTAAGTATTTATAAACTTTAAGCATTTTAGAAAAACCTTTCTCTATTTTACAAGTTTCCCTTTATAGATCCAATTTTAACTCCTAATTTTACATAATGACAACTGTACAACTGGAAGAGAAGCTATGAAAACAAAGACTTTAAAAGTTAGCATCTAAAGAAAAGCCATCTTTAGAAAACATCTGCTTCAACATTGCGTTTTAGAGATGAGAAAAATTATATACCTAGAGAGTCAAAACGATTAGTCCCAAGTCCCTTAGCTAGTCAGAAAAAATACTGTTATTGTTAGTTGCCATCTAGCTGATTCCAACTCAAGGTGACTCCATGTGTGCAAAGTAGAACTGCTTCATAGTGTTTTCAAGCTGTGCCCTTTCAGAAGCAAATCACCAAACCTGTCTCCCACCGCACCCCTGGGTGAGTTCAAGCTGCCAATCTCAGCTAGTAAAGAGCTCAACCTTTTACACCACCTATGGGCTCCAGAGAGGAACTATTTATTGTTATTTTTGTTGTGTGACATCAAGTCAATTCTGACTCATAGTGAACGTAAAGAGCAGAGTAGAATGGCCCCACAGGGTTGCTAGGCTGTAATCTTTATGGCCAAGGAGCTCTGATGCCACAATGGTTAAGCACTCAGCTGCTAGCCAAAAGGTTGGCAGTTTGAACCCATCAGCTTCTCCACAGGAGAAAAGACCTGACAATCTGGTCCTATAAAGAATACAGCCTCATAGTGACCCTGTATTTCAGAGTAGAACTGCCTCATAGGGTTTCCAAAGCTGTAATCTTTATGGAAGCAGACTGACTGCCACATCATTCTCCCACAGAGTAGGTGGTGGGTTCGAACTGCCAACCTTTCAGTTAGCAGCTGCACACTTAACCACTACACCAATAGGGCTCTTTTGAGGAACTATTAGGGCTACTAAAGACGACCAAATCCTTTAAAAAAAAAAAAAAAAGACTACCAGATCCTTTTCATTCTATAAAAGAAGAGAGGATTAAGACTTCAAAGTTTGCCACTTCATTCTAGTTTTCTCAGCTTACTTAGCAATATGAAGTAACTAGATGTCACAATCCTCACCATTACTCAGAATGACTATATATAGGAAATAATTATGTGCTTTTTATCACAAGGCTATCTCATCTTAGGTAAGTAAACTTAAGATTTACAAAATCATTATTTTATAGCAATGAAAATTAATTTTCTTCCTTATTGAACTACTACACTCACTAACACTTTCAGGTAAATTTCTGAAATTTTCAAAAAGTGACTACTTTCAATGCATACTTTCACTCTGATTCAGGTGGAACAACTGTTTTAAAATAATTTCATTTTTGGAAAATTTGTTACCCTCTAACCAAAAGTCTTTAATGATACATTACCATCCAAAAATGAAAAGAAATTCCCAGTGACCATATTCAAACATTTCCTCAACTAATTCCAACCAGTGTCTACAGCTTTTGTTTTCATCAGGTCCTTCATCTACTCTACGTGGATGCTGACTAAAACCACTTCCAGGAAGAGCATGTAGCCACACTGTATTCTTCCACTCTGATTTTATCTGTAATTGTTCTATATCGTGTGTCCTTAAAACTGACGATGACCAATAACGAAAATTAAGATGGACAGTTACCATATTTTTCACAAATAATGTGCCCATACACACATATTATGAAATGATGACATTAAGTAAAACAGTTCTTGTGGAACACCCCCATGTATATGTCATGCATGTCTCATGACACTTCCAGAAGTGAATTTTGGCCTCATCATTCAGTCATTCTCTCTTATTAATTAACAGGTAAATCATATTGCTCTGTTCATTTTCTTTCTTTCTGCTCATTTTCTTTTATCTCCTGCTTATGTGTATAAAAATCATCCAAAAATGTTATTTTTGATCATAATTATGTAATAAAGGTATAAGAAATCATGAATTGAGTTTAGTAGTTCCTTGGTAATCAGGACATAAACAATTGAAATTGCATTTATTTCTATTAATTTAAGCTGATAATATCTACTTTAAGTGAAGTTTCCATGTGATCAGAAATAGTTAATTGAAGTCAACAACATTGAAAAAAAAAAGAAAACCTGGCATAGCACATTTACAAAAACAGGGCATGGGGGGAAACAGGAAGCTGCGCCATCAGCACAAACATGTAATGCACACATTATTTGTGTTAAAATACAGTGGTCTGGACCCAGATTATAAAGAACTTTAAACTTTAGATCCTATTCTTAAGTAGAAACTATTACCCTTACCATTCCCATTGCTACCTCCTGGATCATACCTTTATCACTTCCGGTGTGATCCACTGACATAGTCTCCTCACTGGTCTTCTTCTCGTCTCCAGTTTTTTCCCATTCCTTGTTCTCTTTAAAGACCTTACCAGCAGATTAAGTTTTGTAATAACTGAGATCCTGTCACTCTTGCTCAAAAAAAAAAAAAAAAAAAAAACCCAACTCCTTTATCCTGCCATTCAAAGTTCCCCATTCCCATACTGTCCTTTTATTACCCTAACATTAACCATCATCTGTCCCTCCTTTATCAACTACCATAATTATCATAAAAGCCATAGGCAGTTTATCAGACAATGTCTTTGATATCTCTTCTATTGACCTTGTATTGTTATTTATCTTCATAATGTGTATGCCTTCTTTCTCCTCTTTTTGTGATGCAGCAGAAAGTATGTGGGCTCTAGAATTAATCAGAAGGCTGAGTCCACAATCTAATTCTATTTATAAAGTGAATTTGGGTAAATTATTTCCAATCTTCTAAATCTGTTTTCCCACCTATAAAATGAAGGAAATACCAGCACTCCATGCTTGTAGTTAAGATCAGCACCCAACACAAAATAATAAACATTTAATAAATGCTTATTTATATTCTATTCTAACATCAAACCAGTATTTAATTCAATTAAATTCAATTCCACTACTTTTAATGAGTGCTGGTTTACCCCTCAAAGGTATTGCTCAATCTCTCCTGCCCCTAACTACTATGTAAATTAAAATAGAACTATATCCTCCTTGCAAGCTCTGGTGGAGTAGTGCCAAAAGCAAGTGACTACTAATCAGAAGGCTGGCAGTTCAAATGCACCAGCCACTCCTTGGAAGGAAGATTGGGCAATCTACTTCTGTAGTGATACTGCCTCAGAAACTCAAGGAGGGGTCCATGGCACCAAGTTTGGTTTTGGTATTTTATATCCTCCCTGCCTCTAGGGTAAACATTCTTTGGCTGACAATCTTAAATTACTTTAATTATCAAATTCAATCATCTTTTCACAGGCTTCATTCTCTACATACTTTAACACCTAATTTGGCTGGTGAGCCAACCACTGCCTTCAAATTCTCTTCTCTATGACACTCAATTCTCTCCTTCCACCGCTGTGATCTTTCTCATTCTTAGTGGCTTCCCTTATGACTCCCACCCAAAACGTTAAGAATTCTCCAAGCTTCTGACCACAGGTCTTTTACCTTTGACAACTCCATTCATGTACCAACCCTTCTCTATTTTACACCAAATGGTCACTGTGTCTGAAAATACCAGTTTTGCAATCTTTCCACTCTCCACACTGCACTCCACACACTAATAAATAAAATGAGGTCTCTATCTCTGCCTGCTTCTTTCTACAACTCATGTTATTTTTGCCAAAATAAGCTGATGGAGCCCTATCTCCTACAAAATAATGCCCCAACGCTGAAAACCTGTCATTGCCTAAGGCACTTGACAGCTAACCAGAAGGCTGGTGGTTCAAATCCACCAGCCACTCCTTGGAAGGAAGGTTGGGAAATCTACTTCCGTAGTGATACCGCCTCAGAAACCCAAGGAGCGGTCGCTATGAGTCGGGTCTGACTCGACAGCAAATAACAACAACAATCATCCAGCCCTTAACTACCCTTCCAGCTTCAACGTCCACTATACCCTGACTACTCCACACAAAATCATTCATTCTTTCATTCAACAAATGAGTACAACTTTTCAGTTTCCTACATGCCCAGCACTATTCAGGGCATTGTGGAAATAGGTGGGACAAAAGATAAAAATTCCCACATTCAGAGCTTACATTCCAGGGGAAGAAGACATCGACGAAAAACAAATATGTTAAATGGCAAGTACTCAACATTGTCAAGAACACTCCCTCAAACTTCATGCCTCGATGCCTTTGCACATACCATTTCCATAACTCATAATGTATTCCTTGTCTTAATGAAATGCTTATCTAACCTCAAAGGTCTCTTCTTTAAGAGAAGGTGTTTCTTTTCTGGTGTAAATTTAATTGTGCCACCATAACTAGTCATCTAACCTTTTACTTATGTCACATGCTATATCTTCTTTTAAAGAGTAATAATGTCTATATTAGATTATTATATTTGATTATAAGCCCCTTAAGAAAAAAAGACTTGTTTGCTATTACCTGTATTGCCTGCTCAGCATTAATTAATACCTTCCACAAAGTGAGTATTCAATACGTATTTAGGTGATCCAATCTTTCTAAGGCTACCATGTGACCACAGAAAGTTTTACTGAACAATTGTTGTTGTTGTTGTTGTTATTTGCCATCGAGTCGACCCCGAGTCATAGTGACCCCTCCTTGGGTTTCTGAGGCAGTATCACTACAGAAGTAGGATTGCCCAACCTTCCTTCCGAGGAGTGGCTGGTGGGTTTGAACCGCCAGCCTTCTGGTTAGCAGTCAAGTGCCTTAGGCACTATGCTACCAGAGCTCCTTACTGAACAACAGCAAACTAAAAATATAATGTAGAAACAGTTAAGAAAAGGGATAAACAATCTTTTTGGATGAATTCTGTATTTCATTTGTATCTTACAGATAACTTTAAAAGGATCTGTTGAATGAATACACTCTATATTTACAGTATAGGTCTTCTAAGGTCACCGTAAGTGAGGTGAATTATAAAACTTTAATAAAACAAATTATTAAAAAGGCTTACAGGGCTGGCTCTTCCTCCTCATCTCCATATGACTTTAGATTATCCTGATCATACTGTGGTAATTCAGGCATCAATCTGGAAATTAGAACATTATAGTAAATTTTTAAAAAATATTAAATTATCCATTATCAAGAACAAAAAGGTCAATACTTATTTTGTAATGGGTACATTTTTAATGAGGTTTTTTCCAAAATAATCACCTGGACAGGACTATCTGGATGAAAATTTTGTAAAGGACACACTGACCTAAGAGATCAAATATCTTGACATCCCTGTTATTGAACTGGATGGCCAAGTTTCCTTTTTCCTTTCTTCCTCTGACTTTTATTAATGACTAAAAGTTAGGATTAAGTAGATACTCTATTTTTCTGACCGACATAGCATTAATTATTTGAACAACTCTTACTTGTAGAGCATATGATAAACAGCAATTTGCACAGGTCTAGCTCTGAAGAGGAGTAATGGGGCCAAGGTGTTTAGCAAAGTCTGGAGATGTTCTGGTAAGTTTGTTTTTTGGCCAGTAACAAATCTTGCAGGGAGTTTGTGACTCAAGAGTTGATCCTTTGATATATGTGTTAATGTTTCACACATAGGCTTCAGCACTGCATTCTGAAAGGATGTTTCAGATGGATCTTTGCTTTCTACTAATAATAAAAAGAAACATATCCCAAAACAAAGTGAGTAATATAGCTTGATGCAAAGTCAATCAAATGTCATTAAAATAAAATAAAACCTTGATATACTATATATATACTGATATATTACAGCAGTCCTAATTAGACATGAAGTGAATCTTTATTTCAATTAATCTTAACTGCTTAGTGACTATTATTTCGTCCTTAGAAAAGAAAGCAAACGTTCAAAAGAGAGGTTCAAGTTATGAATAATCTATTCAGGTTATCTGAATCACTATTATTTTAATTTGCAGTAATCTTTGGGTATCTTGCATTTTTCAATTCTTATCTGCAAAGCAAAAGCATCTATGATGTTCTGGAAAGTCAAGCTTTCTTCTTTCTGGGTCTTTTCTTTTACTATTCAGTTCTGTTTGACTCAAATGTCCAAAGTTTTAGTTTGGAATTTTTCGAGAGGTCTTTTCTATGAATCTATTACTCCTTTTTTTCACTTGCCTGTAACAGTCATCAAAAGAGGTAAAAGCAAACTATGGATGCCTTGGGAAAAAAATTCTTTCCATTCACTGATTAGATTTACAGGAAGATTGCCAACAGTATCCAGAGTTGTGGAATCAAAAAACACACTGAGATCACAGGCCAAGCCACAGCTGACACAGGCAAAGAGTTGTACAAGAGGATCAAAATACAGCGCATGATTCTCGCTCGCTGTCTGAAGAAACAATGAAAATCAAATAGTTACTCTTCTACCAGAACACCACAAGCCCAGGTAATAAAGAGAAGTTCCTTTTTCTCTAAGTTTTAAAATAAAAAGCAGTTACAGTACATGATCTCAGGAAAATTTTATATGTGTTATATAATTTTTTTTCAAAGTTAACTACTGAAGATTAGAATTGTTTCAAAGTTAAAAATCATTAGTGAACAATTTATTAGAATCATTAATGAACAAGTTATTCTGAAATGCCCTTTTTACGTCTAAAATTATGAAAGCAAAAATTATCAGCTACTGTTTACAAGTCAGATACTTAAATACATATTTTTATTCCTCTCAGTAATCCTCTATGTTGGATATTACAATGTTCATATTAAAATAACAAAACTGAGGCTCAAATCAGTTAAGTTTAAAACTCTTAAGTGTCATAGTTCATAGTATGCAAAGCAGAGAACCAGACCAATTCAAACCCTGGCTGATATGCTGCTTCAGAGCCCATGGGTATTACATATCTGGTTGCTTTGGGTCACAAAAACAAAATGAATTCCTCTGAATTTGCTTTTATTAACATATTACTCTGGCCATAGTATATTTTAGGAAAAACCTTAATTAGAACCAAAAGATATATTTTGAAAACTTGTCACGAGGCAAAAATATAAAACCTAAAAGTCTGTGCTACAAATATTATGTTCAAAAAAGCTAACAAAGAAAACATTTTAATAGCAGTCAGGAGATTTGGTCACTGAATTATGTTAACACAATTATTAAACCTATCATTATTACAGCTGTCAAATATCAGCTAGGGAGGAGAACTTTTATAAAGTATTGTAAATGCTTCCAAAGGATCTAGTTACAATCATCACTTAAAGATTAAGATTACAAAAATAGTTCCAGTGCCCAGATATGCAACAAGATCCCATGAAAGTAATGATGCATAAGGTTATTTTACCTCCAACCAAGCCAACATGGAACACATGATGAAGTCCCACTCACTCTCTGCCAAAGGAGATGAGCAATATTTCAGGAACAGAGAAAGAAACCGGATTATTTCTATATTTATTCCTAGTGTCTCTGGATTTGCTTCTGATAGATTACTGTGATAAAAACAAGATAAAAAAAAAAAAAAGCATTAAAGAGTTATACTGACATTCAATTAGAAAATAATCTATTTTAAATCTTAGACACTTAAAAATTACTGACTTAAATGTCTACCATGCTATTTACTCTATAAATAAACTGTGCATGTAAGATACAGAATTTGGATCCACATTGTATAGAAGGGAGAGTAAAAAGAGAAAAAGGTATTATATAAAGCATCACCTACCAACTGAAGAGAAAAATATCTTCATAATTTGTCTTCCAGGTTATTATTACTTTTAGTATACCATGTAACAACTCTTCATCATCTATGCTTTTGGTTTGTAGAGAAGAATTGAAAATGGCAAAATATCCAAAACCTCCTGAAATAAAATTCAAAGTAAATTTAAAAAATACATATTGCTACTATAAAAAGGAAATCCTTCTACTCTGAGAAGTGTTCAGGTTAAGAACTTTAAAATTAAAGTCTCATACAAAAGAATCAGGAAACAAGCTTGTAAACTCCACAGGGTAGAGACCCTATATGCATACTGACCACCTAAGCACAGTACAGAAATTTTCTTTTTTTATTAAATGTTACTGTGCTTTACACTACTGATGCTGTTTTTGTCTTAGTTTAAGTACAAGACTTACTCAGTAAACCCAACTTGCAAATAAAAACAAAACAGCCATAGCTATAGATTGCAGTTAAATAAGAATGGAGAATAGAACATGTTGTTCCATAACTCATACATTGATTTAATAAGCATCTACTGTGTCTACTAGGAAGCTCTTAAGGGTCTATATTCTTCAAAATTGCTAGTTTCTTCTCATCCTTTAATTCTCAGCTTAAAGATTACCTCCTCGCCACACATTCTCTTGAGTACCTAAAGCAAGGCTTCAAACTGGTTCAAGCTGGTTCGTCATGGCCAAAAAGTGATACCAGAGCAGAACCAAATTTTTAAAATGTGGGTGAACTAGAACACTAACCAGAACAGGAAAAATTATGGGTCAGATCTCCGCAAGAAACTAACCTCCCTCTTAGATAACAAGGGCAGCATGCATGTAGCATAGCAACAAATCTCTGAACTGGCTGAGTGGAAAACAATGGTACCTGGCTCAAAGATGGCGGCTGACCACACCACTCAATGTATGCTCCTCTCCACAGTCCAGGCAATAATCCAATGTCATACATCAAGCTCCTCACTATGCCACTTTGAGTCTCCCATCACAAAGATTCAGCCCATAATTTTTCCTGTTCTGATTAGCATTCTTGATCACCCAAATTTTTAAAATTCAGATGTTATGGTTTCACTTCATCTGCCATGACTGAACCAGTTTGAAGCCCTAATGTATGCCTCACCCAACTTACCTATTCACCTGTTCATTGCCTTGCCATTGAAGAACTAATTACAATCTATAACTATTATTATTTTACTTATTTACTATTACCTCTTCAATTAGATGAAGGTAGAAACTTTGTTTTATTCACCATTGTATACTCCTAGCACAATTCTGCATTATAGAGAAATTTATTTTGACTGGCTAAATGAAGACTAAATGAACAAATGAATGCCTATTATATACTATGCTACATGCTGGGGAGAAAGAGATGAGGAAAATCCAATCTCTGACCTGAAAGGAACTCATCTTAACCTGTGGATGACTTAAAAAACAAATTAGAATACAATATGGGTAAAGACTGGGCACTAAGAACAGGAAGCAGCTATGCCCATCTAGGAAAGTCAGGAAAGCCTTCTTGAAGTTCATATTTGAGTCTAGATTTATAGCTTGCAAAACTAGCAAAGGCCCAAGGTATAAACTGTAAAAAGATATAGAACGTTCAAAAGTCATGACAATTTTTGGAATCCCTGGATGGTGTAAACAGTTAAGCACTCGACCACTAGCTGAAAGGTTGGCAGTTTGAACTCACCCGAGAAGCCTAGGAAAACAAGTCTTTCTAAAAGGGAAAAGCCTTGAAAATACTATGCAGCAGTTCTACTTTGCACACATGGGGTCACCATGAGTCAGAATCAACTTGATGGTAACTAACAACAACAAAAAATGTATACAACAAAAATCATGACAATTTAGTATGGCCATGGTACAGGGTAGAAGTGGCAGAAAATAAACTAGAGAGGACAGTTGCAATATAATTGTAAAATATCTTATATGCCAAACCAAGAACTTTGGATATTATCTTGTAGGCAAAAGGAAGTGAAACAAGAAAGCAAAGGATTTTTTTAAAAAAAGAAAGATAATCCTTGTGGGAAAACAGAAGAGACTCAAGTATAATCAGAAACCAGTGACTTTTAGTAACAACTACAAGTATTTGTTTAGCTAATTCTCTTTCATCTCCAGGGCAAAACTGGATGTAAAATTCAAAAACATTTTGTTCCCTTTCATGTCTTCTTCCTATCAGGCCTCTGTGCAGTTGTGTACATGCTAGTCTATGTGAGCAGCACCTTGGGGATTGTGTATAAAGCAACCATTCTTCCATTTTGCCTTCCTTTGCTTACAACCTACACTGCAGAAATCAACTACATTCTCAGCAGGTTCTTCTTTAGTTCAACTTAATCCTATTCCAAAACTGCAAACCCCAATCTAACTCCACAGTTTAACTCTGTAAGTGAAGTCAATGGTGAAGCTTAATTCCACAACAATTTATCAACAGCCAGGTGAGCAGTACCACTTGGCAAGTTTTTTTGTTTTTGTTTTTGTTTTTTACATTAATGGGCAGATTCTTCTACTATTTCTAACTTTCACCATCCTTCTTAAAACCCACTATCCAATTTCCACTCAAAAATGGCCTAGCCTATTTCACACAGAAAATGCTTATTAGTCAGGAACATATGACCTTCCCAAACTCATCTAAACTCTATCTGTATCCATCCTTGCATCCCTCCTTACCTTGTCTCAGAGAAAAGTCACACTCCTACTCAAGATAATTTTAACTATGCTCTAGATACTATCCTATTTGTCCTCCCCCTCATCTTCTCAGTGGGAATTTTCTTCTCTGTCTCTCCTCTATCTTCATTCCTCCTTCTTCCTTATGTCTTTCTCTCAACATAGGGATTTTCCCTTTGACCGTGTATGACTGCAGCTTTCATTCTCCTATTTAATTGAATCAATGGCTCCTTACTACCTACAGCTTAAAGTCCAAAATTCTTAACCTGCAAGACTAGGCCTTCATGATCTGTATCCTACTGCGGTATAGTAAATTACACAGTGTGGCTTTTCTAGCCTAAGTCTTTGTAAACTCCATGGTGGAATTTGCTGTGAGCAACTGAGTAGCTCCTGATTGTTAAAGTTACTCACCTGGGGTATTTCTGGGAAGTGCTCTCTCTCTCCTCTCTCTCTCTCTCTCTCTCTCTCTCAGATGTATAGAAGTCTGATGGGATTGGTTAGTTTGACCATTCTGCCAGGCTCAAAAATGAGCCCTCCTAGAGGCAGAAGGAGTCTCTCTGATTGTTGGCTGAGAAAGACGTGCTGCTGAGAGAAATGTGCTCCTGAGACATGCACTTGCTGAGAGAGACACAGAAAGACATGCACTGCTGGGAGAGGGACTGAGAGAGACTATTGGCTGAGAGACTGAGCGTATTCTTGAACTTGAATTGTAGCCTATTGTTTCCCTAATAAACCCCATAATCTCTGAGCTGTGTGTGGCCACTGCAGCGAATTATCGAACCCAGCAGAGAGGTGGTGGGTACTGTGGGAAGAACAGTTGGTGTCAGGGTTGGTGAAAGGGCTGGAGGGAGGCAGCATGTCTGGCCTCATAGGAATAGGCCTTGGGCTACCGATGGTGGTTCTGTCTTCCTCTTGTGGGGTTAGAGGAGGTCAGAATATGCAGCCTCTCTGCCCCTTTTGTACCTATCTTTTTCAGAATTCACCTTCTGGTCCACCCAAACACCCTATGCTCCCAACCTTCCACCTTAAATACTAGCCAAATTGTGTTTTTAAGTGCTCAGCATGCCCTTCCCCATCTATATCCACAGGGAAAATACTTATTCTTCAAGAGCCATTTGAAATGTTTTTGTGAATCTCTCTAGAGACCTCAAAGCAGAGTGAAAAACTCCTTCCCTTCTGCTGCTTCCACAATAATTTTGCTACATGTAATGTCATACCTATTTTCTCTACCAGATTAGGACAGGAACTGACACATAGCAAATGCTCAGTAAGTGTTTATTAGAAATTATAAACAAATTAACTAACAGAGTGTAGAGTATCAAGAAATTTCAAATCCAACAAAAACCATTCCCTCTTTGGCCTTCATATTGGTTAAGAATCCCTTGGTTAAGTCATTGGTTAAGAATCCCTTGACTAGGGAAAAATGAAGCTTATGAAAAAGAAATGATTATAGGGCATTTGTGAGTATAAATCTTCCCTTAGGAATGTAGCATCTCTGTACTGTCAAAGTGGTAAATACTCACCAGAAGTATAAACTAAGAACAAAAATCAGTTGTAATTGAATTTACCTCTATTAGATTTGGTTTTAGATATTAAGAAACACTTCTTTCATCTCAAGCAATATTAACTTAATGAAATATTTACTTCAAGCAACTAACCATCAATATAGTAAAGGTCCTCCTTAGGCCAGGCCAAAAGTGCAGGTATGCATTCAGCAATGAATTTTTTCTTTTCTTCTTTCAACAAAAATGGACAGAGACTTTGAATGGTATGCAAATTACCTTCTGTTAGTGGAAAAAAACTGTTTAAATAAAGGAAAACATGAATTATATTGAATCTAAATACAGAGTTATTTCAAAAAATTCCTCTTACTCAAATTGCTCAACAAGACTAATAATTCTACTATACAAAATAAATTTAGAAAAGAAAGAAACTATTTAGTCTTCTAATTTTTAGCTAAACATATATAACTTTCCCCCATGTATAATTTTAATTATAAAACTAACTCAATGGCAAGTAACAACAACATGTTTGGGTAACTTCAAACCACTTTCTGAAAAAGCATAATCAATTTGTACTTTCACCAAAAAATCTGAAGATTTTATTATTCTAGGAGCTCTGGTAGCGTAGTACCTAAGGCATCTGACTGCTGACAAGAAGGCTGGCAGTTCAAACGCACCAGCCACTCCTTGGAAAGAAGGTTGGGCAATCTACTACCATAGTGATACCACCTCAGAAACCCAAGGAGGGGTCACTATGAGTCAGATTCAACTCTACAGCATTGGGTTTGGTTTTGATTTTTATTATTCTCGGAAAATTGGTCGATAAAATATGTTTTACATTTTCTTTGAATTATTGCTACATAAATATTTCATATTTTGTAACTGAATTATCTAGTCATAGCCTTTGACTATTTCATCTAAAAATTCCATTTATCTCTGTCATACATTGAACTGTGTCTGCCAAAAATATGTGTCAATATATTGTGTGGTTGTCCTCCATTATTTATCTGATGTAACTGTCCTATGTGTTCAAATCATAATCTCTGCCTGTGATTTAAAGAGGCAGGGTTAGGTGATATTAAAGAGGATTAGGTTATGCTTGTTATATTAATGAGGCAGGACTAGAGTGATATATAATTGATGTATAATTGTAAAATGTATAATTTATGTATAATTGATTTATACAATTAGCATTGTAAGGAATATCTCTCCCTTACACAATAACACAAAATGTCAACATAAAGAGCTAAATGTAAAGTACAGATCTATAAAAGTCTTAGATAAGAATAAAAGACGTAATATCTTGGCAATGGCATCTCTCCTTAACGGTCTAGAACAGTCAGAAAACAGCAGAAATTAAGAGAGATGGTTTCATTCAGTTCATCAAGTCCTTGTGAACAATCTCACCTCCTTCCGTAAGACCTGTCAGAATAGTCAACACATGGAAAGTACTGGGGGAAGACAGGACAACTGATGAACAACTGGGAAGCAGTGCAGGATGGCAGTGTTTCCATGAGCCCTCCCAGTCATGTGAGAACCAAAGACCTGCACAAATGACAACCTAAGGCCCTGAGATTTCTAATTGCAATTAATCAGGCCATCTGACCAAATATAAGGAGATTTCTGAGATGTGGTTGCATCATCTTTTATTTACAAGACATAAAAGAGAGAGAAGCTAGCAGAGAGAGGGAAACTCGGTACAACCAAGAAAGAAGAGCAGGAGGCAAAAGTTCTTTTGGACCCAGGGCCCCTGCAATGAGAGGACTAACGACAAAGACCTTCCCTCAGAGACAAGGGAGAGGAAACCCTTCCCCTAAAGATAGCACTCTGAATTCAAACTTCTAGCCTACTAAACTTGTGAGAAAATAAATTTGTTTGTTAAAGCCATCCACTTGTGGTTTTTCTGCTACAGAAGCACTAGAGAACTAAGAAAGTATCCTTGGCATATTTTTTAAATTTGGATACTTTTACTGATTCATAGAAGTTATTTATGAATTCCAGATATTAATTCCTTATTAATTTTCTCCCAATCTGTCATTTTTTCCTATTAACTTTTACTGTACTTTTATCATAAAGAAGTCTTCATTTTTCTAAAGTCAAATATCTACCTCTTCCTTTATGGATTCTGGATTTTGTGCTCTGCTTAAAAAGACCTTCCTTTTGCCAAGATTATATATCTTTTATTCACCTCTAATACTTTTACACATCTGTCTGGTAACATAGTGCCTACCCACCAGCCACTCCTCGGAAGGAAGGTTGGGCAATCCTACTTCCGTAGCGATACTGCCTCGGAAAGCCAAGGAGGGGTCGCTATGAGTTGGGGCCGACTCGACGGCAAATAACAACAACAACAACAAGGCATTTGACTGCTAACCAGAAGGCTGGCGGTTCAAACCCACCAGCCACTCCTCGGAAGGAAGATGGGGCAATCTACTTCCATAGTGATACTGCCTTGGAAACCCAAAGAGGAGTCACTATGGGTCGGGTCCAACTCGAGGGCACATAATAACAACAACTTTATAATCAGTTCTTTATGTGGACATTTTGTGTATCACGTAGGGGAAGAATATCCCTTAAAATGCTAATTGTACAAAGTACAAAATTCTTCATTCTTTCCTCATTTCCTTTCATTTAATGTCCACATTTTCTAAACTTTGTAGTCTTCATTTATTATAGTATTCTTTAGTCAGGGGTTACCAAGGTGACCAATTAAACTAAATTATAAGAATACCTGTCTTCTTCTCTTCTATAATGGTGTTTTACGTCCTCAGATGTAATGCTTCGAGAAAAGATCAACTTAACAATAATAAGAGACCAAAGGGTGCCATTTTCTTTGGATCTAAAAATGGAAAAAAAAAAAATTATTATTTTCTGTTTCAAAAGTTTACTTAATGAGATTTTTTTAACACTAGGTACCTTTTACAGAATTGATTAAATAACCAAGTGAGAGCACCAATTCACTCAAGTATCTGAACCAAAGCACTTGCCATTACCCATAACGTTGGAGTTTCGACTTTTGATATTCCTTCAAAACTGGTACTGAGGGGACTTCTGGTAAGATGGCAAAAAAGGAAGACAAGCTACACAGACTCTCTTCAACAAAAAAAAGAAAAACCAATTGGCAGAGATACAAAAGATAATCCTGGAGCCCTGAGCTTTGAAAGAACATATACAGAAGTGGATTAGGCACCAACTAGTAGTAAAACCTGAATGAAAACAGTGAGTACAATGACAGACGGAGCTGTAGACTGTCAGCTACTCTGATGGAACCAACAGCCTGAATATTTCCAAGTGGTGCTGGGACCTGAGAAGTGACCTAAAGATCAGTCCTGGTCACCAAGAGCTGCAGAGATGACGGTGCTGGTGATCTATGACTAGGAAGGAGAACAGCAAGGAAGGAGACAACCTGAACTGTAGACTTTTGCCTGTCCAGAGGGCATAGCCATTTCAATTGCTTGTAAGCAGTGGACAGTTTGGATATTTAAAGTGACAGAGGGTGCAGCCATTTTCAATGTTTATAAGAGGCAGCCATTTTGAATATTTAAAGTGACCGAAAGTACAGCCACTTTGAATGTTTACAAGCAGTGGCCATTCTGGATATTTAAAGTGACTGAGGGCACAGCCATTTTGAATCTTTACAACTGGTGGCCATTTTGGATTTTAAAGTGACAGTATTCTCATTCAGAATGCAGGGACCTAAAAATAGGCTCTGTTAGCCAAGGACAGCAGGGACATATGGAAGGCTGCCAATGGGAAAGGACAGGTGGTGAGGGTATAAATGCTCCCAACTAGCGAACAGAGGAGCACAGCACAGTACCCTGCTTATGGAGATAACATCCAAAGAAAACGAAAATCATAGGCAAGTCACTCCAACATACAATCACCAATTAAATATAAACACAAAAACATCACAATGCCTCAGAGACAACAGAGCATCACAGTCCACACAAAGAAGCAAGATAAAGCAGGAGAAACAAGGGACCAGGATACAGACCCAAAACACATCCCTGAGGAAGACACAGCACTGGAACTCCCTGATAAGGAATTCAAAAGAATTATATTTAGGCATCTTCAACAAACTGAAAGACAGATCAAGAAAAACACTGACAAAATTGAGGAAAACAAAGAAAAAAACCCAGAATAATTTCGAAAGACAATACAAGAACAAAATAACAAAATAAACGAAAAATTAGAAATAATACAAAATTTACACATAGAAATCCAGAAGATTAATACTAAATTTTCAAAAATAGGTAAGACATTAAACAGCAGAGGAGTAGAACTGAATCAATGGAAGACAAAATTACTGAGATTGAAGGCAAATACCTCAATATTTTTTTAGAAAGCAATCAATCAGAAAAAAGATCAAAACAAAAATGAAGAAAGTCTAAGGTTCATGTGGGATACCATCACAAAGAATAACCTACGTGTAACTGGAATTCCAGAACAGGAAGAGACTAATAAAGCCACAGAAAAAGTTGCCGAGGATGTGCTGGAAGAAAGTTTCCCTGGTATGATGAAAGATGAGAATAAATCCTTTCAAGAAGTACAATGAATCCCAAACAGGATAGATTCCAAAAGAAAACCACCAAGACATATCATCATCAAATTCACCGAAACCAAAGACAAAGAAAGAATCCTGAAAGCAGCATGAGAAAAATGAAAAGGTACCTACAAAGGGCAACCAATAAGACTAAGCTCAGATTTCTTACAAGAAACCATGCAGGTGAGAAGACAATGGGATGGTATATATAAAACCCTGAAAGAAAACATTTCCAACCAAGAATTATGTACCCAGCAAAACTGTCCCTCAAATATGATGATAAAATTAGGACATTTCCAGATTAGCAGAAATTAAGAGAACTTGTTAAAACCTTACAAGAGATGCTAAAGGGTGTCCTTTGGACAGAGAAGCAACAACAGGCAACAACAACTGACCATTAACACATATGGTGACATAATCTAGAAATCAACCCAGCTATGGAAGTATCCAAAGTAAATAAGCCTACAAGATTGTCAACAGGGAACTAGAGACATCAACTGACAAACGAGGACAAACTACAAACCAAAAAGAGGGAAAAAACTTTATAGTTACAGAACTTCTAAATGGTAGAAAAGTCAAGGCAACTACATGATAGGACAAAGTTTTCTAAACTTAGAAAGAAAACTATAAATCACAGGGTAACCTCAAAGAAAAATGATAAACCTTCACATCAAAATAAAAAAGAGGACCAGCACAAATATTTAGCAAATACTAAAACAACAGCAATGAAGGAAGTAATAACATGAATCATAAACAAAATGAGCTCAGCATAGATAATTATAAGAAACAAAGAAATCAACATCACAAAAAAAACACATGGCAAAAATGACAGCAACAAATTCATACTTGTCGATAATTACATATCTGGCAAGAGACTTATCTCTAAGAGTTATAGAAAACTCCAACGCCTCAACAGCAAAGGAATTAAAAATCCTATTGAAAAATGGGCAGAAAACATGAGTAGACACTTCACCAAAGAGGATAGTCAGGTGACCAGCAAACACATGAAGAGATGCTCACAATCACTGGCCATCAGAGAGATGCAAATCAAAACAACAATGAAATATCATCTCACCCCAGAACTGATGGCAAGGTTCTACGAGACAAAAAATAACAAATGCTGGAGGGGATGTGGAGACTCTCATACACTGCTAGTGGGACTGTCAAATGATACAACCACTGTTGTAAGCAATAGGGCAATTCCTTAGAAAGCTGGAACTGGGATACCATTTGAACCAGCAATCTCATTATCCGGTATATATCCTAGAGAGGTGAGAGCCAGGACAGGAACAGGTACATGCACACCCATATTCATCACAGCACTGTTTACAATAGCAAAAATATGGAAATAACCATGTGCCCATCAATGGAAGAGTGGATGACCAAACTGTGGTACATACACACAATGAAATGCTATGCAGCACTAAAAATAACATAGAGTCTGCAAAATGCTGTATAACATGGATGAACTTGGAAGACATTTTCCTGAGTGAAATAAGTCAATCACTGAATGACAAATACAGTATTAATTTGTTGTTGTGAAGGGTCAAGGAAAGGTTTATGTATGGAGGGAAACTTTCTTTGTTAGTTGCCGGGGTGGGAACAGAGGGGAGAGGAAGAAACACTGCAAAAAAAAAAAAAAGCATTAACCCATGTCACTTTAGTTTTATGTATTTCACTGCACATAAATTATATTTCAATAAAATGCATTAAAAAAAATCAACAAGACTAAAAGTTAGTTCTTCAAAAAGATTAATAAAATTGACAAATCACTGGCAAATTTATAAAAGATAAAGAGGCAAAGAATACAAATAACACAAATAAGAAATGAATTGAGCAATGTCACAACAGAACCAACATAAACTAAAAGGATAATATCAAGATACTATGAAGAACTATATTCAAAAATCTAGAAGAAATGGACAGATTTCTAGACACATACTACTTACCTAAACTAACAGAAGCTGAGGTGGAAAACTGAAACAGATTCATAACAAAAGAAGAAACTGAACAAATCATAAAAATAATTACCAATAAAAAAAGTCCTGGCCCAGACGGTTTCACTGGAGAATTCTACTGAATGTTCAGAAAAGAACTGACACCAATCCTACTCAAACTATTCCAGAACATAGGAAATGATGGAATCCTCCAGGATTCATTTTATAAAACAAGCATAACCTTGATACTAAAACCAAGCAAAGACATCATTAAAAAGGAAAACTATAGACCAATATCCCTCCTGAGTAGAGATGCATACATACACACAATGGAATACTATGCCACCCTAAAATCTTCAACAAAATACTAACCAATAGACTCCAACAACTTCAATAAAAATCTTCAACAAAATACTAACCAATAGACTCCAACAACATACCAAAAAAAATAATACATTATGACCAAGTGGGGTTCATATCAGGTATGCAAGGATGGTTCAACAATAGGAAAACAATCAATGCCATCCATCACATAAATAGAACAAAGGAAAAGAACCACATGATCATATCAATTGATGCAGAAAAAGCATTTGATAAAATCCAACACCCATTCCTGATAAGAGAATCTAAGCAAAATCGGAATAGAAGGGAATTCCTCAACATAATAAAGGGCACATATGCAAAACCAACAGCCAACGTTTTTCTCAATGGAAAGAGACTGAAACCATTCCCCTTGCGAACAGGAACGAAGCAAGGATGCCCTCTATCACCACTTCTATTTAACACTGTGTTGGAAGTCCTAGCCTCGGCAATAAGACAAGAAAGGGAAATCAAAGGCATCAAGATTGATAAGGAAGAAGTCAAACTATCCCTATTTGCTGATGACATGATCCTATACAAAGCCAAGAGACTCAGCAAAAAACTACTGGAACTAATTGAGAGATTTAGCTTAGTGGTGGGATACAAGATCAACATACAAAAACCAGTTGGATTCCTCAACACCAGCAAAGAGATTGATGAAAAGGAAATAAGGAAATCAATACCATTTACAATAGCTACCAAAAAAATATTTGGTAATAAATCTCACCAGGGACACAAAAGACCTGTACAAAGAAAACTACAAATCACTACTCCAAGAAACCATAAAAGATCTGCATAAATGGAAGAACATACCACACTTGGACAGAAGGTTGAACATTGTGAAAATGTCAATACTACCCAAACCAATCTATACATTCAATGCAATCCAGATCCAGATCCCATCAGTATCCTTTAAGAATATGGAAAAACCAATCACTAATTTTATATGGAAAGGAAAGAGACTTTGAATAAGCAAAGCACCATTGTAGAAGAAGAACAAAGTAGGAGGTCTCACACTCCTGGATCTCAAAACCTACTATACAGCCATGTTAGTCAAAACAGCCTGGTACTAGTACAAGGACAGACATACAGACCAATGCAAAACAATGCAACGCACTGCAGTCAAGTCGAATCCGACTCATAGTGACCCCTCCTTGGGTTTCCAAAGCGGTATCACTACAGAAATAGATTGCCCAACCTTCCTTCTGAGGAATGGCTAGTAGGTTTGAATTTCCAGCCTTCTGGTTAGCAGCAGTCAAATGCCTTAGGCACTACACCACCAGCTCCTAACACATAGACCAATGAAACAGAATTGAGAACCCAGAAATAGATCCATCAACCTATGGTCAGCCGATTTTTGACAAAGGGCTGAAATTCATTAAATGGGCAAGAGATGGTCTCTTTAACAAATGGTACTGGCAAAAGTGGATATCCATTTGCAGAAAAAGGAAACGATATCTGTAACTCACACCATATATAAGAACTAACTCCAGATAGATCAAGTATTTAAATGTCACACCTACAACTATAAAGTTTCTCAAGGAGAAACTAGTGGCAAATTTAGGGGTCCTATTTTATGGCATAAATAGACTGTCAAGCATAACCCAAAACGCACAAACAGCTGAAGATAAACTCGATGAATAGGATCTTCTAAAAATTAAGTATTTATGTGCTTCCAAAGACTTCTCCAAAAGAGTAAAGAGAGACCCTACAGAGTGGGGAAAAAATATTCAGCAACAATATATCTCACAAGGGACCTATCCCTAAAATATATAGAAAACACCAACACCTCAGCAACAAAAAGATTAACAATCCAATTAAAAAATGGGCAGAAGACATGAACAGACACTTCACCAAAAAGGATATTCAGGCAGCCAGCAAATACATGAAGAAATGCTCACGATCATTAGCCATCAGAGAGATGCAAACAAAACAACAATGAGATACTATCTCACCGTAGCACTAATGGCAAAGTTCAACAAGACAGAAAATAACAAATACTAACAAGGATGTGGAGAAATTGGGACTCTCATACACTGCTGGTGGGACTGTAAAATGATACAACCACTGTGGAAAGCAGTATGGCGATTCCTTAGAAAGCTGGAATTAGAAATGCCATTTGACCCAACCATTCCATTACTAGGTACATATCCTAAAGCAGTGAGAGCCATGACAAGAACAGATATATGCACACCCATGTTCATTGCAGCACTATTTACAATAGCCAAAAGATGGAAACCTAGGTGTCCATCAACTGAGGAATGGATAACCAAACTATGGTACATACACACAATGGAATATTATGCCACCCTAAAGAATAACGTAGAATCTGCAAAACACCACTTAACGTGGATGAACTTAGAGTACATTATGCTGAGTGAAATAAGTCGATCATAGAAGGACAAATATTGTATTACTCTGTTACTGTAAAAAGTCAAGGAAAGGTTTTTATATGGAAGGAAATTTTCTTTGTTGGTTACCAGGGGTGGGAAGGGAGGGGAGGGAACACTGTTAGATAGGTACAGAGAAGTACTGATTTGGGTGAAGAGAAGGGCAATGTACCAAATGTGAGTGATCAACATGGTGACACTGAGGAAGCGGAAGTCATACAGAGGTACATGGGAGGTACAGACAACAAAGATAAACTCTTTCGCACCTACAGTACTGCGTTGTCAGTGAAGGCAAACATGGATGTAAGGGTGAATAGATGAGTGGACAGGATTAACTATTAGGTATGTCTATGTGGGGGGAGGTGCTCTGATAGTGTAGTGCCTAAGGCACTTGACTGCTAACCAGAAGGCTGGCGGTTCAAACCCACCAGCCATTCTTCGGAAGGTTGGGCAATCTACTTCCATAGTGACATCACCTTGGAAACCCAAGGAGGGGTCGCTATGAGTCAGATCCGACTCCACTGCACGTAACAACAATAATATGCAGGGGGTAGTGTGCCCAAGACCATGTATAGGGCTGGCAGACAATGTTTCTACAAGTGTACTGCTATGTTCTATAAGAATTCTCAGGTATATTGTAGAGCGGACAAGGGACAAGGTTGTAGTTACTTTTTGGGCACAGCCAGATACCCACAGGGAGCAAGTGGTTGAACCTGTGGGCTCAGAACCATAGTCACAGAGGACATCAAGCTCAATTGGCATAATACACTACACAAAACATTGTTCCACCTCTTACTTTGGCAAGTAGCAACCGGGATCTTAAAAGCTTGCAAGCAGCCATCTAGATGCAATGATGGGTCTCTCCTCGTCCAGAGCAAAGAAGAATGAAGAAAACCAAAGATTCATGGAAACAATTAGTCCAAGCAACTG